GCTGGACAGGTACATTGAAGTCTGCTGCAGCAGAACTCATAAATCCTTTTTTTTTTTTTTTCCCCCAGCTGCTCTGTCCCAGGGAGTGAGTTAGGGCTTTATTTATGAGTTTCTGTTGGGCTGCTGGCTTTTCTCAGGGGTGCCTTGCCCAACAAGGAGGCAGCCTAGTCACTGTCTGCCTGCAGAGGCTTTGCTGAGCTGCTATGGCCTCCGCCCAGCTGCTGCATGAACTTCCCTACAGTCCTCTTCATACCGGTATAGTTAGAACTGCCTTAGCAATGGCGGCCCACCTCTGTAATGGCGGGCTGCCTCAGCAATGGCAAACTACCTCTGTAGTGGTGGACTGCCTCAGTAATGGCAGACACCCCTCCTCCACAGAGCTGGACTGTCCCAGGTTCAGCTGTGCTTGCTATGAAACTCTCAATCCAGAGCTTTTCAGATTGCTTTTTTGTTGAGGTGGGATCAGCCGAGCCTGATCATCTGGCTCCCTGCCTCAGAACCTCCCACCCTTTTTTTTTTTTTTTCCAGTTGAATGGGCAACTTCGTCTCCCAGGTGTTCTAATTGCCTGTTGAAAAGGCACTGGGACCTGTGTGATTTCCCATGTGGTGACCCACTGCACCGGCTGAAACAGCCATGCTGAGATTTGTGGCACTTTTTTGCCTGGGAATCTCCTGGCCTGCCTCCCTGTTTCAGTCCCCTTTTTTATCAGTTGAATGGGCAACTGTCTCCCAGGAGCTCCAACTGCCAACTAAAACAGTGCCTGGACCTGTGTATTTTATGTAGAGACCCGCTGCACCAGCCAAAGCAGCCGTGCTGGCGACCCGTGGGGCTCTTCCACCTGGGAATCTCCTGGTCTGTGGGCAATAGAAATCCATCTAGAAATGTGGCGTCCACTCACCCTCCGCGCTTTCACTGGGATTTGCAATCCTGAGCTGCTCCTAATTGGCCATCTTGGATCCATCTCGCTTTGCCAATTTTTTACCTTTTTGTTAAATTGTAGTTCTTTATATATTCTGGATATTAATCCCTTATCAGATATATAATTTACAAGTATTTTCTCCCATTCTGTAGGTTGCCTTTAATGATGCACAAATATTTTTAATTTTGATGAAGTCCAACTTGTGAAGTACACCTGTTTCTTCTAAAAGTCTGATGCTTTAAGCTCTTACATTTAGATATGTCACTGATCCATTATGAGTAAATTTTTGTATATGGGATCCAGCTTCACGCTTTCGCTTGTGAAAATCTAGTTATCCCAGCATCATCTGTTGAAGCGATTCTTCTTCCCCATTTAGCAAACTTGAAAAGCTTGTAAAAATCAGTTGGTCAACAAGTGTATGGTTTAAACAACTCCTGAGTTGTAAAAGGAAAGATAACAACAGAGATGGTAACTATGTTTGTTACTGAGGGGAATGACCCAGAAGAGGGGAAAATTGGAGAGAACTGCTTGTCTTAGCAGGCAAGAGGTGATAACGTTTGAATACAAGTGGAAGGTCTGTCCTTTGAGAGTTTATCTACAAGTAGTGGTAGGAAGGTCAGTATGTCACTGCAGTTGCTAATAGGTAGGTGGGCATGGCAGCAGATCACAAAAATGCACCCATCTACTCAACAAATACTTATTGGTCACCTACACCTTACTTTGTGCCCGATATTGTTCTAAGGATACAAATGGTATTTTCAGCCAATTTAAACTTAGCCATTCTAGTGGGTATCTAATGGTGTCTCATCATAATTTTAATTTGCATTTCCATTTTTTTCCTTTTTTTTTTTGCCATTCATCTTCTCTGGTTAAGTATCTGTTCTGTTCTGAGGGTTCTCTGGTGAACCCTCATACACTGCTAGTAGGAATGTAAAATGGCGCAGACACTGTGGAAAAAGAAGTTTGGCAGTTCCTCAAAGAAGAGGAAAACACAATTACTATATGATCCAACAATTCTACTTTTAGGCATATACTGAAAAGAACTGAAGGTATGAACTTAAACAGATCCTTATACGCCAATATTTACTGCAGCATTATTCACAAGAGCCAAAAGGTGGAAAAAAAAACAAGTGTCCACTGAAAAATGAAAGGATAAACAAACTATGCTCTACACAGGCAATAGAATACTTAGCCATAAAAGGAGCGAAGTTCTGATACATGCTACTACATGGATGGACCTTGAAAACATTTTGCTAAGTGAAGTACAAAGACACAGTGAATCAAAACAGAGGTCCCTGTCCTCATGGAGCTACCACATTTAAGGATAAGAAACAGATATCAAACATAAAGGACTATGGTGGGCTTGAGGATCTCAAAGTCGAACTGGACTGGGGATGTTTGGGCAGTATCATCAAATTTATGTTTAAAATGGCTGCTGAGGGACCAGTTAGTGGTTATTGCAGAAAATCAATGTTTCTGTATCTATCTCCTAGGAATAATTTTGGTTAGAAAGCAATATAAGTTTTCAACATGTAAAGTCAATATATCAACTATTGCAATTAAAACTGAAGACAGCTATGTCTCCTGTAAACTTGCAATAAAGCAATGGATTAAATTCTGAGATTTAAATCTTCTGATTAGTGTTTTCTTTCTCAAAGTGATACATAAATAACCTGTTTATATGAGTGTGTTTTAGAATCCAGAATAAGTAGAAAGCCAAATAAAATTAAATACATTATCACTGATGACTTTTTATGGAAACTCTATACCCTTAAAAAATTATTTAAAAGTGTAATAAAAAGTCCAGTGAAGACTTAACTGTAGAAGCAAATGAAGATAATAACTGCCATTATCAGTGAGCTTAATATTTGTCTCATGCTTTCTCCTGCATTTCTGTACCCTAAGGTTTACACTTAGATGACTTACCACCCTCAGAGCAGTGGAGCCTTGGTGGGTTACTTAATCTAGACCTAATCCAGCCTGAAAATTTGCTCCCACTCATCACTCAGAAGCCACTTCCACCTATCCCTAAATTCTCAGAAGAATCCTGATTCATGAGAGAAATTCTAAAGAGCCAGTGAAGAATCTTTATAGGCTCAAAAGGAGTCCTGGAGATACTCATTCTGTTTCTGAACTTCTTTAAGCATATCAGATCAGAAATATCTAGGCCTTAATAAAGTCATGTCTTCTGCAGTGATATGGATGGAGCTGGAGGTCACCACCCAAAGTGAAATAATTCAGAAACAGAAAATCAGTTATGAGACATTCTCCCTCATAAGTGGAAGCTAAACAATCGGTACACATGGACACACAGAGGGAAAGGACAGACACTGGGGACTCCAAAAGGGAGACGGTAGTAGGAGGGTGAAAGATGGGACATTACCTGTTGGCTACAATGTTCACTACAGCGGTGATGGGTACACCAGGAGCCATTATGCAATATGTCCATGTAACACACCTGCACATGTACCCCTGGAATCCATAAAAACGAACGTTTAAAAACTTTTAAACATTAAGCCTCCAAGGAAGGAGACAAATGGCCTCTACCTGAGGTTACCTCTCAAACTGTAGTGGGCAACAGAAAGAAAAAAATTCCAGGTTAAAATAAAAAGCTGACCACAAGTGACTTTTTAAGTGGCATTATGAACTGTTCTTGTGGCTCAAAGTCTTACCTAGGTGTCTATTAAGGAAAGTCATAAAGTAAGCCTGCAAAAGAGTAAGAAAACTTTGTAAAATATCATGAAATGACTACAAAATATGCCACTATTTGGCACTAGCCAAATAATGTACTCATGATACTTAATATTTTGTAAATTTCTATAGTATAGTTTAAATGGAAAAAAAAATCTAATTGCTATTTTGCTTCCTGGACTCTTGCTTTTTGGAAAGTGTTTCACTGGAGATCAAAATGTGCTGTTGCTGGGAAAATAAATTATTTTAGTGACAAAGTCCTAGGTGGCTTCAATCAAGTATCTCAATGTGTGGTGTGTATATGTACATAGAAGTAGATATATTATTATCGATTGCTCAGACTGTATTTTGAAATTGTCCAGTTTCAAGCCTAGAATTACTCAAATGTTAATGTTCTCATGGTCAGCATGAATAAATTTGTATACAATTCCTCCAGCTTCTAACAAAGGGATTCCTATAGTTAGAAAAATCTCTGTCTGCTATAAAATCTAAAAATTCACCATATTCCAGCCTCGAACACATGTCAGGAAAAAATAAATTATGTACATACAGAAGATAGACTTTGTTACTTTGTTCTAATATATTTTTAAAATATCATTATAAGAGCAGAGTTCTGGAGCAGAAATATGCAATTCAACTTTACTGATTATGTCTAAGGTATAAGGAAATAAGGAGAATTATGGATGGTGGTAAACAAGATGAAACGGGGTGATAAATACATGAACAAGATAATTTTTCATGGATCTTACATTAGTAAAAATGTGTAATTCTCACCTCAAAGAAGTTTTAGTCTAGGCTATGAATCACATTTAAATTGAGTAAGTAAAAGAAGATCAATTAACAGGATGTGAAGGGATTCTATAAATATGAGGCTAGTAAGGCTGAAAATTTTCTCCTCCAAATATTTCTGCCATTTGTTGTATGCTCAAGAAAGGAGCATATATTTCTTCTAATAAGCTTTACACAAGTATTATAAATATATCCTTTCAAACACAAAGCCAAATAAAAGTACATTTTTTCTTATTTTCCTATCAGAAAAGTTAACAATTCTCTATATATAATCTTAAACAAAATAATACAATTTCCAGCACCTACTAATGGCTCTAAGATGATGTTCATAAAGTTAATTCTGCTTAATATCAGGATGAAACCTACCTCACAGCACAGCAGGATAAAGATCTATCCACCATTGTACAGAGGGCCCAAGGACAGTCTTCAAGTCTGTATTTTACCATACCACTCTCCTCATTTCCCTAGTACATTTTTTGAAAGAATCATGTTTTAGCTTCATTAAGTAAAATACCCACCAACCAGAAATGCTTTTCCTCAACTTCTTTAATCTATAAAAGTTTCATGCACACAATCTGACAAAATGTATCAGTCAAGACATCCGATTTAAGTATTTTAGGCATATTTAATAAATAACTTCAGTAAATAGCATTGTAAAAAGTGAACTATTAAAACTAAAGGCACTTAAAACAAGAATATGACTAGTATGAAACAAGATGGGCAACTCAAATGGTGAGAAGTAAACATACAGTGGTCTGTTATGGCAATAATTCGAAGTAAGACTCGCATAAGTGATAGCTGTTGCGTAAGCCATGGTACAACTTCACACATTCATTAAAAAGGCAAATTTACAGCTAAAATGTCAAAGAAAAAGTACTGATAAAAAAAAGTCTTACCCTCAACTTGCAAACAAATACATTAAAAGATAAGGTGATAAAAAGCACCGATATTAAACAAAATAAAAATAATAAAATAAATTCAACTCAAAAGGTCCCCATTCAGCAAATACTTCGTAAAGTATGGCCTTTATGTAAATAGTGCTAAATCAAGGACTTTTTAGCAGGAAATTGCTCAGTACTTTTATCTAAGGCTTGAATTCATAAAGGGAAGGCATAAAGTTACCATATATGAAGTAACTCTTAAAATGGCACACAGGTTTTAAAGCTATTGGTTTTTCCTTTCTAACTCTCTGAATTTTTCCCATGGCCTTCATAGATAGACTATTTCAAACCTACTTTACGCAGCAACTCTCAATGTACTTGTTTTTCAGATATGTCATCAGTCATGATTAACAGGCAAATAGCAAAACGATAGATTTAAAACAATCCTTAACTAGCTGGCAGGACATTTACTTTGGATTCTGCATAACTGCATTCTGACATATTTGTAAAGCTAAAAATCAGTTTTAATACATGATTAACAGAAACTCTCATCATGCTCATTACTTTAACTATTGCCCCTTCAATCGCTATAGAAATATTACTTAACCCAATAAAAGCTTGATTTCAATAGTCCAGGAAGAAAAGGTCAAAAGGCACAATGTGACCTCAGCTGACAAGAATAACCATCCTGTCTCAAGTCTTTTGTCAGTCCCTGGCATGAATTACAACATTGTTTTCAAAATAATAAAAAAATTTTTAAAATTATACATATTGTACATTTTCAAAACCTGCACATGAGTAAAACCATGGCAATATTGCCCTAAAGCTACCTAACTGTGACTATGAAAATTGCTACTTTGCAGTCAGTGTTATGAGATTTGCACAGGTAGTACTCATTTTCCCTCATACTTCGGATTGACCACAGTTGTCACGGCACTCTTATAAATAGGATTTTCACCCTAAAAAAAAAAAAAAAGTGAGAAAAATCATGAGTTACTCTACTAAAATCATGTAGCACAATTTTATAAATCAAGTCTAAAAGTTGCAGTCATTTTAAGAAGTCATTTCTATTTTATCTGTCCAGATATCACAGTTGTTTCAAAGGTATTAATAGCAGCTTATGGATAAAAATGCAAAATGGAAGCTTTGCTTTACAAACCAAATGATGCCCCTGTTATCTGGTGCTATTTCATTATTGAGTCCTTCCTCCACTGGTGGCTTGATTTAAGAAAGTTCTCCATGGAACAGAATGTGCTGTCATTGTGGATTTTCTCTTTTGAACTAGCTTGTAGTGCCTACCTTAAGGAAGCATCAGCTCCGCTGTCATCACTGCCTGATTCTTATCCCTTTATTGTGTACAGAAGGCGCTTGCTAATCGAAACGGGAATCCTTGGCTTTCACTGCTGGGAGGGAGGTGTGCTTCTGGGCTCTCCTACCTAAGTTACCAATTTAGAGAATTCTCAGGTAAGGCTGTCATTGTGTCACGAATGGCATTGAGCCCCACACAAAGTCACGCTGCCAAATTTGCTTAGAATGCTAGATAATTACCATTTCCTATGAAAAAAGTATTCTTCAATATCATATTGGTGAAATGTCTTATTGCAATGCTGTAATTTAGTAAGCAGGTCTGAAGTCAAGCCTAGCAAGCAGACCCCAAGCCATAAATGCAAGAGATCTTTCAAGATCCAAAAAATATACTGACAGTGATGTTTTAAGCAGAAAAAAAAAATGTAATTCCATATCACCATTGTCCTTAAAAATTATCATATATTGTAAGTGCTACATTTAAATACTTGCTGTAGCATTCTTTTTTCTCCTGTTCTTATAAATTGAAAGCAGGCTTGAAAGCCAAATGAGAAGTGTGACCAAATGACACTTTATCAGAGAAAATTACAGTGAGTACAAATCAAAAATACTTGTTAACTACCAGGGAAACATTTTTTTAGGCAAAAGTTAAGATTTTACAATGTTGTTTAGTTTTATATCTCACTACAGAAGCAACTGCAGATGATTAAAAAAAATAGAAAGCATCTAAAAGCAGTTTTTGATCTAGAAGTAATTTTTGTTTTTAAATTTTATTCATACTTCATTGCAGACTGTATTTGGATCTGCCTTTTGGTGCCACATTTCTGCCCTCAAGGAAGGTGAGAGGCATGAAAATAAGGCACTCTGATATAGTACACAGCAGAGTTACAAACATAATCTGGGAATAGTATGAGAAAAAAGTGATTAATTTTATCTGAGAAGATTAAAGATATTTTCATCATGAAATTGACTATAAACTACTGGTTGATACACAGAAATCTATGCAAAGTTAAGGTGTAGGGAAAAGAATGGGACATTTTAAGTAGAAATATACATAGTTCACAGTTTTTAGTTAGGTAAGGACAGGTGCCTTGGCTCATGCCTGTAATCCCATCACTCTGAGAGGCCAAGGCGGGTGGATCACTAGAGGTCAGGAGTTTGAGACCAGCCAAGCCAACATAGTCAAACCTCATCTCCACTAAAAATACAAAAATTAGCCAGGCCTGGTGGCAGGTGCCTGTAATCCCAGCTACCTGGGAGGCTGGCGCAGGAGAACTGCTTGAACCCAGGAGGCAGAGACTGCAGTGAGCTGAGATCGTGCCACTGCACTCCAGCCCAAGACTCTAACTCAAAAAAAAGGAAAAAGAGTCGGGGGCATATGATTTGAGATGAGGAGACAACAGAAGAATGGCCCTAGAAGCCTTGCTGTGAAATCTGAACTTCATCCTGCAGGTGGGATACCACTGAGGGAAAAGTAGTATCCCACCTACGGGATGAAGGAAAAAGCGAGACACTTGCGTAGCTGCCTTCTGCAAGACACCAAATAAACCACTGTGATTTCAGCTCAGCAGCTTGTGTTATACCAATCAGAACCCAACAACATGCCTCAGCCCTCAGTCCTCTCTCCTCAATATACACACTGATCAGTTGTTTCAGAAACATGGAGAAACTCAGGATCCCTCAGAGACAAACAGCATATAATGTGTATAACAAAACTGGGCACATCAAACTCTCAGCTCTAGTCCCAACTGAAGCTAATAACATTATACAGTTGTGACAGCAGACATTTCAAAATGGGGGTCAGAAAACTGGATTCTAGCAACTACCATCTTAAAAAGCCAAAGCACAAATAAGTTAGGCTCCACATTTATATCCTATCTGATTGGAGGCTAAGTGCTATTCATTCCTTCAAATATGTTGGGAAAATAAATTATTATCCAATTAAGTTTCTTTAAAATAATGTATTTGCTAAATCTAGTATTTAATACTCAAGAATTATAAGGGAACGACAAAATAATAATAATGAAAGAAAGACCTACACAGATGAGTCCAAAGTGTAATTTACGTGGAAGAACTTACCTTTGGAGAAAAAATCTATCTTGTCATATACACAAACATTTGTATTTATTATTTCAAAGTCCATCCACACAAAAGTTTAACATGCAAGGTTAGAGGTAAAATTAAGCTCATTATCTGCATTAGGCATCATTTTAAATGGAGGTAAACTAAAATAATTCAGATTAGTTTCCATCATTCAGAGTGCAACACCACCCAACCCCAACAAAACCCGCATCAAAAGAACAGGGTTATTACATTGCGGAAGGAAGCCCTCAGTGCTCAGTAAAATGTCATCTTTGTGCTCACTCTGGAATAGCTTCTACAATGTATTAGATATGTAATGCAGAACTGTGGGAGATTTGGGATCCACATTTAAACCTGCATAGCAGCAGGTGAGGACAATTTTTTTAACCCACTCCAATAGTTAGAAGCTGAGAATGTGACATGTTCTTTTTAACGCTCCTACTTGTGCCAAAGTAATTAGTGTCTGCCCATTATTTCAAAAATACTGATGACATAATTGACGGGCAAACCTCGGTCCATATCAGAAAATTTTTTTTCAATCCACGATATAATTTCTTGATGTTTATTGATTTATTTCAACTTTACTTAAGTTCTACTTTTTCTTGAGAAAACATCTCAAAATAATCAAATTGCCTGGACTTCAATAATGCAGAGAAATTTTTACCAAACTTTTACTTCTTGAATTACATTAAATGCTTCTTTTAGCAACATTTTAGCCATATATACATTATAAACATTAAGTTTAAATAACATTTACTGATAATTTCCTTCAAAATACAATTAAAGGTACAGAAAGGGTGAAAATTTCACCTCTCAGTATGAAAGAAACTTTTTCTCCTGTGAAAAATAACCACATGAAATTGTCAATATTTGATTATTTTGACCTACAACTAAAGAAAATAATATAAAAGAAAAAGCCTGGCAATGTCATTGACTAATCAGTTTTCCTCTAAAAATGACTTTCTGTAAAGCACTAAGTGAGAACAAGAAAAACGTGTCATCACAGACTAACACAAATATGTTCCAACCCTGCCCATATGTGAATCTGAATATAATCTTCTGCCATCAAATTTAACTTTAAAAAGTCTTATGGTTTACTTAGAAATAAAAATCTGACAAGTTAATGATTTCTAGTATTATCAGTACTTCCTATATCGCTTATAACTATTAAACATTCCCGTACTTTAGGCTCTTATTCATGATCTGTTTGTAAGCACATTTCCAACAGTCAATAAGCGTAACTGCAGCACTTCCATGTATTCAAGTGACTTCCCTATTATGATGTTTGCCAACAGAGGCAGTGTTAACTCTGACAGAGGAACAACAAATTGTCAAAAAATGCTGTAAATCTCTATAAAAGACTGATCTACCTCTTCCTAAAAGGTAACAGGGACTTCTGAAGATACATAACTGCTACCAAGGAGAATATCATAGACAAGAACATGGACTCTGGAGCCCAGCTGCCTGGGTTCAAATCTCAGCTCTGACTAACTAGTTGTATGAATTCGGTCAAGTTACATAACCCTTATGTGTCTGTTTCCTCATATGTAAAACAGGTATAAACATCATTCCTTCAACTTTCACTATGAAGATTAAATATAGATTGTTTACAATCATGCCTGAGACACAATGAGTTTTATGTAAGTGTTACTAACACCGTCTTTATCTGCAAAATAAGGTAGGCAGTGAGAAAACTGGAAATCTTCCAGGCCCTATTACAGTCAGTCAACTGGGAAAGGGAAGAAGAGTTCCCGATCACCAGTCAGGAGAATTTAGTTCTAATCACAATTAACCTTGGTTATCACTGAGTTTTAGGAGCTTGCATGATTATATTGAAATATGATGGAAACATTTCATGAAAATTCAGATAGGAACAGTTTCAAACTTACATTTGAAAATTAGAATCATTCTCACATACACATACACAGACATATATATAATAGACAAAGATATATATAAAATATGGTCTTCCAGCTTTTAATGAAATTTCAAGTTATATTCAAGAAATTAATCTCAAAACTTCTGAGAACCAATAATAATGATATTGTAGTTGCATACCACACAAATATCATACCAATTTACATTTAATTTTCTATTTTGCAATTTGGAGTTCATGATCAGTTTTCACTATCCAACCCTAAAATTTACTCTAACAATTTGTTATTTAAGGATAATACTGGTGGGAGCACAGTGGCTCACACCTGCAATTCCAGGACTTTGGGAGGCCAAGGCGGGCAGATCACTGGAGGTCAGGAGTTCTAGGCCAAGCTGGCCAACATTGTGAAACCCTGTCTCTTCTAAAAATATAAAAACTAACTGAGCATAGTGGCAGGCACCAGTAATCCCAGATACTTGGGAGGCTGAGGCAGGAGAATCGCTGGAATCTGGAAAGCGGAGGTTGCAGTGAGTAGAGATCATACCACCATACCCCAGGCTGGGTGACAGAGCAAGACTCTGTCTCAAAAAACAAAACAAAATCAAAAACAGAAAAAGAAAAAAGGATACTATCATTCTAGGCATAGAACTGTTGTGAGGATTAGAGCTCACAAGCATTTCACATACTGGAATGCATTTGCCAAATACAATTGCCCCATACAATACAGAATACTGACTCCCTGTGATAGATGAGAGCAGTGAAGTGGCTCAATGCTGTTCTACTTACTAAGTGGAAGAGTTGGAATTTGACCTGAGGTCTGATCGTAAATCACATTCTCTTCTCACTACAACATAGCTGCTGTTTCTATACCACATTACTTATTTTAGTCTTTCTAAACACGAAGTTAACACACAAAAAGGAAAGCCGCAATAGCGATATAAATAAAGCCAGACTTAAAAAAAGAAAAGCCATAGTGATAAAGGGCACACAGTGCAGTAAAAAAAGTAAAAGTTCACATGCAAAGGCAGAAAGTGAAAGAAAATACGAACGGCAATTTAGAGACCAGCTTTACGTCCGTAGTTTGGATTCTTGAAATTATTAATAGGACTCTTGTATATCGGATTTTCTTGCTAAAGTAAAAGAAATAGTTTCTAATGATTTCATCAGAAAAAAATAGACATTGATAGTGTTCAAACACTATAAAGGGAATTTTTTTCTATTTCTACACTTGTGAAATTTATAATTTAAAAAATTGATAGTTTTTTAAAACTCCAGCAAATTGTAGTTAAGTGCAAGTAACTACAATTCATTTACAACTTAAAAAAACTAAAGATTGACAATGCTGTCTTGTATCAAAAGATGAATACACAGAGGCTGACATTTGGCTACCCCACCATCTTACTCCATATTTCAAAGCACTAAATGCTAACATAAACTTTCAGTCACTTAGGGCTTTTAAAATTTTTATAAGCCAAGGTTTACTGAGTCAACATAATTTTCATAGAGGAACATATACCTTTTTAAAGTACATAGTTCCATGAGTTTTCAAATACATAAATACATCCACAATCAAGATCATCCCAGGAAGTTTCCTTACAGCCCTTTGCGGTCAACCCTTTCCCTCATTCCAGCCCTTAGGAACAACTGATTTTTGCCCATATAGTTTTGCTTCTCCAGAATGTCACTTAAATGAAATCACATGGCATATAGCAGGAGTGTCCAATTTTTGGCTTCCCTGGGCCACTTTTCTGGAAGAAGAATCATTGTCTTGGGCCACACATAAAATATGCTAATGATAGATGATGAGCTTAAAAAAAAAAAGTCATAAAAAAAAAAAAAACAACTTACAATTTCTAAGAAAGTTTCCGAATTTGTGTTAGGGCCACATTCAAAGCTGTCCTGGGCTGCATGTGGCCCACGAGCTGCGAGTTGGACAAGCTTGGCATATAACCTTTTGAATTTGGCTTTCACTGAAGGTTCTTTGTCTTTTTTTTGTTTTGTTTTGTTTTTAAGAAAGAAGCAGCTTTCCATTGACTAGCTTACTACACAGGTAACATTATTTAGGATTCTACTTCACATTAGATGAAAAGGCAGATTCAGGATCAAAACTATTAAAGAAATAAAAATACTGGCCACAGTAACCAGAATATACATGTTTATAATCAATGTTTTGTTTCAATGGGATATATTTAGGATGCTTTCTGTTTATATTAAATGCAAATTCTTTGAATGAGAAACTTTTCGGGGACTAAAATATTTAAAAAGGAATTTAATAATCAGCCTGACAGTTAATAAGTAAGTCTTAGGAGTATTACATTTGCTTTATAAGCCACTTTGCTTTTTGGATGTTTTGTAACTTACCGTGTCCCATTTGGCATTCATTTTCTCCTTTTCAAATTTAGCAAATTCCCTTCGGTCATGAATTATCATTAAAAGCTTCCATATCAGCAGTAATGCAAGGCCAATAAGAACAATTCCAGCAACCACACCAGCTACAATTGGAATGATGTCTGGACCAGTAGGACACTCTGGAAAATAAGAAGGTAGTAAGGAGCACACAAGGGACGAACACATGCAGAGTCCAGCCACAACCACAAAGAGCTGAGCAGTATCTTATAAAAAACATACAGGAATAAACACCCAAGACAGTGAATGCACGCTATCCCAAAGAATCTATAAAATAGCTTTTGGAACAAGTGAGTTTACGAGGTTGCAGGATACATGATCAATGAACAAAAATCATGTATTTTTCTATATATATATTTCTACATATTGAAAATAGAAATTTTTAAACAGTATCATTACTACAGAATGAAGCAGCATGAAAAAAACTTACATGTAAGTCTATCAAAATATATGCAAGATCTGCATGTTAAGAATTACTAAATCATCATTGGCCGGGCGCGGTGGCTCAAGCCTGTAATCCCAGCACTTTGGGAGGCCGAGGCGGGTGGATCACGAGGTCAAGAGATCGAGACCATCCTGGTCAACATGGTGAAACCCCGTCTCTACTAAAAATACAAAAAATTAGCTGGGCATGGTGGCGCGTGCCTGTAATCCCAGCTACTCGGGAGGCTGAGGCAGGAGAATTGCCTGAACCCAGGAGGCGGAGGTTGCGGTGAGCCGAGATCGCGCCATTGCACTCTAGCCTGGGTAACAAGAGTGAAACTTCGTCTCCTAAAAAAAAAAAAAAAAAAAAAAAAAGAATTACTAAACACTGATAAAAAGAAATCTTTAAGACTGAAAAAATGGAGGGATACTCCATGTACATGAATTACAAAATCTAATACTGTTAAGAGGTCAATTCTTCCCAACTGGATCTATAAACTCAATGGTATCCCACCCAAATTCCTGGCAGAACTTCTGTAGCAATTAGCAAACCAATTCTAAAATTTCCACGGAAGGCAGAGAACTAGGGAAGTGTCTCAAAAACACTTTTGGAAAGAATAAAGCTGGAAGACTCACATTACCTGCTTTGAGGACAGACTATAAAGTTACAAGACCATGTGGTATAGCTAACTGACAGACTTGGATACATTGAACAGCAATCAGAGTCAGAAACAGACCTATACATGTAAGGTCACCTGATTTTCAACAAAGGTGGAGAAAGGACCGTCTTTTTTCAACAAATGCCCCTGGAACAAGTAGCCACTGATATGAAAAAAAAAAAAACAACTGACCCTTTTGCCATACACTAAGACTAACTCAAAATAGGTTACAGATCTAAATGTGAAACCAAAAACTATAATAAACTTCTAGAAGAAAACACAGGAGAAAAATCTTTAAAATCTTGGGTTAGGCGGAGTTCTTAACAGACAATGTAAAAGCAAGATTCACAAAAGAAAAACTTGGTAAACCATACTTAATCAAAATTGAAACCTGTGGTGTTCAAAAGACACTTACAAAAAGGTAAGGAGGCAAAGGCTGGGAGACAATATTTGCAAAACACCTAGCTGATAATGCAAAACAGTACAAGACTCTAAGAGTCTGGCAGCTTCTTACAAAGTTAAACATATGCTTACCATATGCTCCAAAATGCCATTCTTAGAATTTACCCAAGAGAAATGAAAGCTTATGTTCACACAAAAACATGTATACTAAAGTAGCAAATTCCAAAGAATCTATAAAAAGCTACTAGGAAAACTAAGATTAAAAAAAAAAAGTTTCACCTCCTGAAAAGTTAAATTCAACACTTACATATTAACATCCTTTAGCAAATTATCTTTCCCAGTATTCAAGACTAAATCAAGCTCTAATTTTAAAATCATCAATCATAAAAAAGTCTTATTATGCACCTGGTGTCAGGTACCATTCTAAGTGTCTTACATAGGTCACTGCATTTAATCTTCAAACTCTCCACTCAGAAAATTTAAAATTGGAACTCTCTTTTCCTTATTTCTTGTATGGTTAATTAAGTACTATTTTAGGCTTCAAGAGATGAAAAATTTCCCAACTTGAACCTAAAATATTCCAGCCGGAGGCTGTTTCTGGATGTTAGGCCTAAATACGCAGAATCAAGACATAAGAAATGAAAAGAAGGTTTGAAATCATCAGATTTATACCTGGATTCTCCACAACATGAACCATAATCTCGTTGTTTCCATTCACTGAGTATGTAAAATAGAACCAACAGTCATCAACATCTTTCTCCTTACAATGGGACACAGGATCAGGTTGGACTGGCTGGGGCAATTTTTCCCGACTTTCTACCTTGGTAATGTTAAAATATGAACATTCCTGTGCACATGTGTCTTTCTTTTCTCCTTTATTGAAGGCTCTGCACTGAACACATTCTCTGTTAAAAAAAAAAATTATTATATTTAAATTTTGTTATTTCAATAAATATTTACTTACACATATTTTCCATGCTAAACTCTTGTGATGAAATTGAGTAAACAGCTATGAAGGCATATCTGAATAAATGAAGAGGCACATTACATTTCTGGATGGAGAAATTATGTAAAACTATGCTACTTTCCATAATAAAATATTAATTATAGTTCAAATTAAAACCCTATTAAGAAATATAAGACGGTAAAATAAATTAGCCCTATCACATAGTAAATGTATAATATAAAAATCATAATAATTTTTTTTTGAGATGGATTCTTACTCTATCACCCAGGCAGTGCAATGGTGCGATCTTGGCTCACTGTAACCTCTGCTTTCTAGGTTCAAGGAATTCTTGTGCTTCAGCCTCCCAAGTTGCTGGGATTATAGGCGCATGCCACCACATCTGGCTAATTTTTGTGTTTTCAGTAGAGATGGGGTTTCACCACATTGGCCAGACTGGTCTCGAACTCCTCACCTCAAGTTATTCACCTGCCTTGGCATCCCAAAGTGCTGGGATTACAGGTGTGAGCCACCGTGCTCGGCCAAAATCGTAATAATTTGAATAATATGTTACTAGTATAATAATTCTTCAAGAGGAAAAATCTTTAATTTGGGTCAGCGTTGTCAAAAGATAGTAATTAAGAAACTGGTAATGCCAATTTAATAAAGGTTACCATGTAAATTCAATTATCTAGCAAATTCAGATCAAAATAATAGTATAACTCTCACATGACACACTTCATACCATGTAATAAATACTAGTTGTTGAGAAAGAACTTTTAGGAATTAAAGAGTAGGCTTCCACATGGCAGGCATTTTATTTATACTATAATCTAATATTGGCACTGTTCTGGTTCTAGTAATATAGGCTTAGGAGATCCAAGAGGAAGCATCAACTATTTCAAGCAATTAGGAAATACTTACTTATGCTCAGCACAGACACCAAGGCAGGTCTGACACATCTCACACGTTTGCCCTTGAAACTTCGGATCTGTACACTTACAGACACCACACTCACAGATGCCCCGACCATTGCAGATCTGTCCGTTGCTGGCTACGCAAGTACTAGTATCCAAAGAACAGTCACACGCACTGCCAGTGTAGTTGGGGTAGCACTCACACACACGACACTTGCAAACACCATTTCCTGCAATTAAGCATATGATTTCTCAAAATAATGGTAAAAATATACAATCACAGTATTGACTGAAAAGTACAATAAGCAACATGTGAGAAAGTATACCTAGGGGCAGGGCTGACCCACAAGCTACCCCTTTTTTTACTTATGCACCAAGTAAACGCTTAAGATTTTTTGAGGCATTAGATGGGATCACATCTTACAACCACTTCAAGCCCTTTACTTACCTCCACAAATTAAGCCATTGGATCTATCGCAGTTGAAATTATCACACTCGCAGAATTTGCCAGAATAAATTTCATTTGTATTATCCCTCTTCCTACAAACACACTGTCCACAGATGCACTCTCCATTGTTACTGCAGATTTCTGAACTGTTTTCTTTCCTGCAGTAAGCGTCCATGTCTTCACTGTTGACTTCATCTGTGCTACATTCACAGTGTCTACCAACACGCCCCTCGTTGCACCTGAGGAAAGATTCCACAATTGCAGTCACACAAAACAAAAATAATTTAAAAGAGAAATACTAGGAGAGGAAATAAAACTATAAAAAATATCTCTTCGAGCTACCAATCTATTAGATGGGAGTGTCCATGCCACACGTCACAGATGTGTAGTGAAGTGTACACACATGTGCAAGCAAGGACAAATACACACAGGCACACATGTACATCCCAGTCACTCAGTTTCTACAGAATATATGCAAGAGTCAAGGAAACAAATTTCTTCAGGAAAGTAACAATTTTGGTGAAGATAAAATGTATCTAGCAATAAATGGTGAAGATAAAAATGTATCTAGCAATAAATTATGAACGACACATGTGGAAAGGCAAAATAAACTTAATTTTAGAGTATGTTAGTTACATTTTTAAATAGTATGCTATTACATTTCCTATTCTAGGTGAACTGTCTCTAAATTTAAAGCAACAATCTATTAACCTAAATAAACACATGCAAAAAAGTATACAGGAGCTGAAAAAAAACACACTGTGTATACCACTTAAAATATAACTAATATACTATTTAAAAATAAATTTATCCTACAGGTGCAGACTTTTCAGGATCCCTGTGTATTTTCAGAACACATAATGCTCACGCACACTGAATGCACTGATTCTGTATCTAGTAAAAATACAAGCAAAGAAAGGCAAAGTATTTTCAAGATAATCTTTATGGTTAAATGACATTTTACTAAAAATGGACCTGGCATGATTCAAACAGGATATGTACAACACGGAAAATTTAAAAATTCTGACATTTAAATTGTTATTTAGCACAGACAATGAAAAATTGATAGTGAGCTACAGCCATGCATTTCTTTCATGGTCAATAGCTCTTCTAAGTCTAGTCATTTGGGGCTGACACTGGATTAAAACACTCTCCCCTCCGCCTATTCTTTTACGGAAAAGGCTGTATTCAAAGTATACTCAGTTCTTATTTTTCAATTAAAAAAAGGAACCACAGTGTGAAAATAAAATCTGAAGTAATTTTGTTAGTTTCTTAGTATTAGATTCTACATGCTAAAAATACCATTTTCTCTTTATTTTACAACACATTATTTTTAAAAAATTATTCCAACAATACAGAAGTACATGTAGTACAAGATAAACATCTTCTATTGCTTCTTAATTCCGTTTCCCAGATGAAATCGCCATCAGTTTAATGTTTTCTCAAAACATTTTTCTATAAATGTATTTTACACAAGCTTATTTTGTTCTAGAAAATTCAGATTGCTCTCACATGAGAGAAATGCTATGTTAACAATTTGTTGAATATGCTTCTTTCATAGCTATAAAAGCTTTTATTTTAAGGAGTAATTAAGAAGAAAAGGCAGGAAGGAGCTTCCTATAAATATCACATGTAAGATCATCAAACTGATCTTGTGGTAAGCAACCATGGTTAGAAAAAACATTTCCTCCAAATAGAGAGATATTCTTGGATGTCCCAAAATATGACCTGCCTCTACTCTAAACCAATGTAGCCCTTTCTGTCACTATCTGACAATGACCAGCTTACCTGCATGCGCCACACTCAAACGTTCCGTTTCCTTCATGACACTTGGGACTGCCGGGGATGCCTTCGCTTTGGCATTCACATTCACAGATGTACTGAAGAATAACCTCTACTTCCTCTGTAAAGCCCAGAGGCCTAATTTTAAAGGTGTCAGAATCCTTCTTTGGACATTTATTTGAAGTTATGCTAATTTCAAATTGAACCTTGAAGGGAAAAAAAAGATCAACAACCAATTAAGCAATTTAAATCTACTAAAAATATTTCAAAAAGCTTCTCACTTAACATTTCTCAAAGTATAAACTAAATTTACTTATAAATAAGCAATGTTTTCTTTTCTACAGAAAATGCTTTCTACAACGTACCTCATCTCCAATGGAAATATTAGAACATTTTCTTCCATTTTCCCCTGTTCCATTCACCCCATTCTTGCAGTAAGATTTGTAACTTATTGTTACTCCTTCCGATAATTTGCCGTTTTCCAAAATGACTTCTGAGGAAAGGGACTAAAAGAATGCCTAATTATATACAGGAAAGTCAACAAATGCTACTTGAATGTATAAAACCAATGGATAAACTGCTCAGAAAAAAAATTATTTCAATAAAATATTTACAGGCCAAATCCAACTGAGTAACTAGAAAACACAGACACCAGAGAAACAGGTTTTAATTAATAAAGATCCAATCTTCAAAATAAAATACACAATTCAAAAGAGTGTTCCTGTTTTAATCGCTGAGTTAAAGTACTCAGGATCACACAGTACAGCGGGCTGTTACTAAGCAGGAGGAGTCTTAAGAATGTGGCATAGGCCAGGCGTGGTGGCTCATGCCTGTAATCCCAGCACTTTGGGAGGCTGAGGCGGGTGGATTACCTGAGCTCAGGAGTTCGAGACCGGCCTGGGCAACACAGTGAAACCCCATCTCTACTAAAACAAACAAACACACACACACACACCCACCCCCACCCCAGGTGTGGTGGCATGCGCCTGTAATCCCAGCTACCTGGGAGGCTGAGAAAGGAGAAATCGCTTGAACCCGGGAGCCAGAGGTTGCAATGAGCCAAGATTGCTGCATTCAGGCCTGGGCAACAGAGCGAGGCTCCGTCTCAAAAAAAAAGAATGCGGAATAAATAAATGCTGTCTTCCCCACTGGCAAAATGGTGTTTCTGTGGTCCTACCCCTCCAGCTAACTATGGACTAGGGTACACAATCAACAATGCAGTCTGGGAATAAATCTGCATAAGGAACCATTGTAGCCCAGCCAAAAACCAAAAAACAAATTCCCCCAAGAAGGAGGGATTCAAGCCAGTGCTTGTTGAAAGTATAAAACTATTCAGGGCAAATGGAGCTGGGGCAGTGGCAAGCTATCTCTTGTTCATACCTGTGAAAAGACTGGAATTAGGAAAATTATCCAAGACCGGGGAGGATGGAAAAGCTGTGGAACAAGTGAAATCTTAAAAACCTTTGTAAAAACCCCTCTGAATCAGGCCTTTCCAAAGCATTATGGTACGCCACGGCATGAAGTAAAAATGTTTAAAATTCAAGCTGCCAAAGGGTTAGAGGGACGGGGGCTGAAAGTGGTGCATGCAGCACACAGGGTTACCATAATATTACAACTGCCTTCAGATTATTTAAATGATTATTAATTAAAGCTAACTGGACATGATTAAAGCATACTGAATTATGCTCAAAAAGGAGAAGCCAATTCCTCTTTAACTTCAACATCCTCCCAACTGTGGGTAGAAAAAGAACACTAAAAATCTTTTTGAATTGGCGAATCACACGTTTATTCACATTTTTACAGATTTAGTGGTATACGTATGTATGAATGTGTGTGCCTCCTGAAATAGAAAACTATATCCTTTGACTATATAAGAAGAGAAGAATTGGGGGAAAAATAAGTTTCTAGCATAGTTCATCAAAATAGATGACTCTATAAAAGATATTTTGGGGAGAAAAAAGATTGGAGAAATTCTGTAAAAGTTTAAATGTAAGCTATATTTTACAATTGCTTTCCAACAAGATCTCTTCCTTAATGATAAACAAACGGATATTTGGAAATATTTCCCACATACCTTTATTACATTTTTGCTTTGTTTAGGCTATGAATCTGCTTTTGTAAGACAACATGTATAAAGCTTTTCCTCCAGACACAGAATTTAAGTTTCTTTGTAGTCCTTTGAGTTTGCCAAAGTGTGCACGAAGTTTTACTTTCTTTGAACAAAGTATTCCCAACAGGGTATTGTCTAAAACTGATCTTACTTAAGATGTACTCACATTGTATGCATCAATGATCAACTGAATTACATTGCTAGAATTTGCAGATAATGTTCCTACTGCTGACTTAGGGATCAAGTTTTTCAGTTCCTGAAATTAAAAGATAAAACATGTAAAATACAACTACTATTCATTCAACCAATTAGCATCTATTGGGCAACTTTTATCTTTAAAGGTCAGTCCCCATGTTTTCTAAATAATTTTAGGGGTGAAACCTAGAAACCAGTTTTATGATATGTGATTAAAAATTAATATAAACCATTTTTGTAAAATCCACTTTGCCTAGCTGGTGGCATCTTCCCACATTTCAATTCAAACACGATTTGTCTTTAACGACTCAACAAAAAATACTTAGGATTTTGCTATTTTTATCTCACACATTTACCTTGTAAACAGGCTGAAATTCTTCAGTAACTGCAAAAATCGTCTGAATATTATTTTCACTGAGTTTCTGGACAAGGTGAGCAATAGAAGGATAATCCTAAGAAATCAAGTGATACAATTTAGTATGTAAATACACCCTTATAACCTATTCCAATTTTCAATCTAGTCATACATGCAAGATTATACGTAACTCAATTACAAGACTGCTTTACATAACTAGATTACATAAGTAATCTATATATATAGCTAGACTACATCTAGCTGTACATAACTAGATTATATATATATATAAATAGATTATAAGACTACTTTTAAATAACAGTATCAAATGTAAATAATTGCTGAAGTGAGTAGTGTGTATGTGAATTACTAATCCTCTTCTGTACCTTCATGTATGAACAAAAATTTCCATATTCAAAAAATTTTAAATAGTAAAATTATCTAAGTATATTAAATATAAGGACAATGAGATTAAAGAATAATTAAATATTCTGTTATCTACAACTTAAGGAAAGACCAAAATTCACCATTTGGATTTCTTTTAGAACTTGAATGATTTGCAAATATTTATTTTCAATAAATATTGAAAATATTGACTGCTTTTAAAAATCGTCTAAGAGTATGAGACTAAACTATTTATTTAGAAATAGTACTGACTGTACTTTTTATTTAGAAATAGTACTGCTGTGGAGGGGAGTTGAGGCAAGGAGTGAAAGTGGCATCTAGGCATCCCTTTCCCACCCCAGTGAGGCCCTTGTTTGAGCAGAAGGAAGCAAATGCAAAGCCGCATCTTCACAAACAGCAATGTTAGCTTTCCCGTGCTTGCTTTTTTTTTTTTTTTTTTTCATTGCACTCTAAGTTCTGGGGTACATGTGCAGATCTTGAAGGACTGTTGCATAGATACACACATGCCATGGTGGTTTGCTGCATCCATCACCCCGTCACCTACATCAGGCATTTCTCCCAATGTTATCCCTCCCCAACCTCCCCGTCCCCGACTGTCCCTCCCCTAACTCCCCCCAACAGACTCCAGTGTGTGATATTCCCCTCCCTGTGTCCTAGTGTTCTCATGGTTTAACACCCGTCTATGAATGAGAACATAGAGTGTTTGGTTTTCTGTTCCTGTGTCAGCTTGCTGAGAATCACAGTTTCCAGATTCATCCTTGTCCCTACAAAGAACACAAACTCATCCTTTTTTATGGCTGCACAGTATTCCATGGTATATATGTGCCACATGGGCATCTGGGTTGGTTCCAGGTCTTTGCTACTGTAAACAGTGCCACAATGAGCACATGTGTGCATGTCTCTTTATTATAATAGAACGATTTATAATCCTTTGGGTAGGTACCCAGTAATGTGATTGCTGGGTCAAATGGAATTTCTATTTCTGTGTCCTTGAGGAATCGCCACACTGTCTTCCACAATGGTTGAACTAATTTACACTCCCACCAAGTGTAAGGGTGTTTCTATTTCTCCACATCCTCTGCAGCATCTGTTGTCTCCAGATTTTTTAATCAGGACTTCTACTTACCAAAATAGCAAAAACCTCAAACCCTGAGAAACCCCAAGCCAGTCACCCATAAACTCTGAGTATTAAACATTAAAATCCAACATAAACACATTTGCTGTGTAAGGAACTAAGCACTTACATAATAATGGCTCATTGTGTACATATTGTTTTCCAGGTGACATTGTCCATCATTTGGTAAAACAATGCCACCAAGTTTCCCATCTCCAGCAAAGTGAAACCCGGCATCTGTGGAAAACACCAGCAGCCGGGTAACATTCCTCCAGCCAATCAGTGACTTGAAAAGAAAAGGATTTTAATTTTAAAACACTATTCACAGTAATTCAACAAAAATCCTTTAATTTTCATATAGGCCACTATTGTATTTTTGACCTAATTCTGTATTTTCTCTGTATCTCTTCTTTACACAATGCTAATTATCTTGCTGAGAAATGCACAAAGCCCACTGAATGAAGCTCTTCCATTCCATGTACAACTATATCTTGCCTGACCATCCATATCTCTCAGTTCTTTTTAAAAGCTGTTTTGTTGTTGTTGTTGTGCTTATCATCAAATCTCCAGGAGTTAGCATGCCAGCATACTGCTTAGCAAGCAGTAAGCACTTGAGCGTTTGCTGAATATATCAATGTGTCTCAGCCTATCCTTACCTTACTCCACTGCTGCTGTCTTGTCCCCATCCACCTATCTCTGCTATGCCTTCTTTATCAGCCCACCATATGAGGCTTCCCTTTTTAATAACAGAAATAATTATCTTGTTTAACGATAATTTCACCCATTCTAACTCCTCAATCAGTACTGTTTAACTGCTCATTTACTTTATTCTGGACCTTTTCCAATAAAGAATTTAAAGTAACAGTAAAATCCTCTTCTCACTATGGAAATTTTATAATTACAAATTATATAATTATAGTAATTTAGTTCCATTAGTTAATTTACTTAATATATCTGTTTATACCTTCATAAGACTGTAAAGTCCTTTAAGGTGGGCATCACATTTATTAACACTGGCAATTTTCCAAAAGTGGAATGTCTGTCTCTTTTGCATCTAGAGACATGGATCAGCATGACCAACACAGAAAAATAGCCACAACCAAGGGTGCTATGGCTTGTTTGATCCCACACGTTAAGGCCTAGCTGGAGGCAGGCCAGAGAATGCTCTGCTAACAAGCTGCTAACAGGTTCACAAATCAATGGCTAGTAAAAGAGTTACTGTAAGGCCAGGCACTACCAGGAATGCTACTTGCTTCCGCTATAACACAGGGACTAACCTTAAATTGCAACCACTCCAGTCAAAAGTCAAAAGTAACAACAATATAGGAATCAGTATTTGCTGAATGCTCATTGGTACTTTATGGAAATTGCTGCATTTTACTTCACAAAAGCCCTATGAGGTAAACACTATTATCATCCCTCCTTAAAGAGAAGAAAACAACCCTAAAGAGGCTAAATTGCCCAGCATCAATAGCAATAGAAAAATTATTACCCACATTCCTTATTATTTTGAGTATCAATTAGCACATTGGCAAAAACTGACTGAAAAGTAACCATTTAAGAGGTGTCTACAATCAAAGAAGGTCATCTAGAGAATGGAGGCACTGGACGGAACAAAAATGAGACAACAGTAGGTACTCAGGACAAACTTGATCTCATGCTGTTTTCTAGTTTCAGCCTCAGCCACATCATTAAAGTGTCATTTCAAAGTATGCAGCTGCTACATGGATCATAAAATGCCAATTACTGGTCCAATAGGGATGGGCTTGCTACTGAAGATCTTACAATTAAAATTACAAGTAGTATATCACCTCTCAAAACACATCTATTCATATAGCTTACAAACTAGGGCTTAAAAAATTATTTCTTTTTGAATTACTAAGACACAAAAGAAAGATGTATCTTTCAAAGACAGTGAGAAGAAAACTGACCAAAGAAAAATGATACAAGACACTCTCCCTTTGAGCAATTCCAAGGTTCCTGGTGATGCCTCAGATAATAACATCAATTCCATCTCTGGTACAAAGCCAGAAAGTTAGGACACCTGGGCTTTTCTCAAATCCAGACCACCAGCTACAGTACAGTGAGGTTGTCCCACTGTTTCAAATGGTTAGCATTCTGGCTTTTAAAAACCTGCAAGAGGCCAGGCGTGGTGGCTCACGCCTGTAATCCCAGCACTTTGGGAGGCTGAGGTGGGCAGATCACGAGGTCAAGGGATCAAGACCATCCTGGCCAACATGGTGAAACCCCTTCTCTACTAAAAATACAAAATGAGCTGGGCATGGTGGCGCACACCTGTATTTCCAGCTACTTGGGAGGCTGAGGCAGGAGAACTGCTTGAACCTGCAAGGTAGAGATTGCAGTGAGCCGAGATTGCACCACTGCACTCCAACCTGGCGACAGAGCTAGACTCTGACAGAGCGAGACTCTGTCTCCCAAGAAAAAAAAAGAGCCTACATGAATAAATTAACTGCCTGGTTTGCACAGGGATTAAATATGCTTTTATAAAGCACTTGTATAGAGGTAATTTATGGGATTACTTAAATTACTTCCCTAAGGTAATCAAATGTATGAAAATTAAGGTCAATTTTTCTATTAACATAGTAAAATCACACTTAAAATTCACATAGATAATAAAACAATATCCCCTTATAGGAAATGAATGCACTTACTCCACAAACTGCAACTTGCATGATGGCATCAAAACCACCTTCTGGAGAATCCAAATTTCCAGATATGCGCTGTTTTCCTACAAGTTCATTAAATACTTCTCCTTTATTAGTAAGACTGAGCACATTTTTGTAGCTAAATGGGCTGGTGCAGTTCTGTTCACTTGTGCAAGGATTCCTGAGCTTAGCTGGTGTTGTGCTAATGTAAGGCATCACAGTCTTTTCCACAAATGAGCCAAATCCTATAAAGAAAAAAATGGTACATGAATGGATGGATGATGGATGGAAAGAGATTTGCATTTTTAAAAAAATTAATCTACATGTAAGTGACTATGGACTGAATGTCTGTGTAACCCCAAAATTCCTACATTGAAAATCTAATTCCCAACATGACGATATTAGAAAGTGGGTCCCCTGGGAGGTGATTAGATCATGAGGGCAGAACCCTCATGAATGGGATTAGTGACTGGTAACAGTTTGGGTACTTGTCCCCGCCCAAGTCTCATGTTGAAATGTGATCCCCTATGTTGAAGGTGCGGCCTGGGGAGCGGTGTCTGGGTCACAGGGGCAGATCCCTCATGGCTTGGTGCTGTTCTGACCATAGTGAGTGAGTTCTCAAGAGATCTGGTGTTTAAAATTGCATGGCACCTCCCCCTACCTCTTGCTCCTGCTCCCACCATGTGAGAAACCTGCTCCCCACTTTGCCCTCTGCCATGATTGGAAGCTTCCTGAGCTTGCTGATGCAAGTGCCATGTTTCCTGTAGAGCCTGCAGGACAGTAAGCCAATTAAATCTCTTTTCTTTATAAACTACCCAGTCTCAGATATTTCTTTATAGCAATGTTAAGAACAGACTACCACAGTGACCTTATCAAAGAAGCCCCAGAGAGCTGCTGTCCCCCTGCTGCTATGTGAGTACATGGCAAGAAGGTATCATCTAAGAACCCAGAAGAGGACCCTCACCAGATGCTGAATCTGCCTTGATCTTGGACTTCTCACCTCCAGAGCTGTGAGAAATAAACTTCTATTTTTCATAAGCCACTCAGTTTATGGTATTTTTTACAGCTGTGCAAATGGACTAAGTCCTAAGTCAACCTTTATATTTTGCCTCCCTACTTTAAAAATAACTCACATTCATTTTCTTGGCACATCAGCCATCAATAAAGGCATGTTGAACAAATGAATAAATGAATATTCTAGAATCCTGGCCATTTTAAAAAAAAGACTAATTTGGTAGGAGCTTCCTATTACTATGGTCCTTGAATTATGCTTACTGAATAAAAGAATATTTTAAGCAAGTGCTATTTTTTGTTTCCACTAAAATAGAGCTAATTTTTGAAAGGCAGCTATAGGCCTCATGACTGTAAATCTTTCCACTATTCTGTAGGTAAACCTCTACAGGAATAGGAGTGGAGAGAAGGAGGCAAAAACAAGGTTAAGCTGAGGATGCATGAAATGGGAAAAATAAAGTTTGAAAAGCGATCATCATCCCACGAAAAACCCAGGTCTAAGGTGACATCAGACTGTACAGGCAGGCGCAGTCATACTAATTAGTAATTAGATAAAATCTGGGTACTCAACACGTTTATAAAATAAGTCATAAGGCCCAGACGCGGTGGCTTACACCTGTAATCCTAGTACTCTGGGAGGCCGAGGCAGGTGGATTACCTGAGGTCAGGAGTTCGAGACCAGCCAGACCAACATGGTGAAACCCCATCTCTACTAAAAATACAAAAAATTAGCTGAGCGTGGTGGCAGACGCCTGTAATCCCAGCTACTCGGGAGGCTGCAGCAGGATAATCACTTCAGGAGGTTGAAGGTTGCAGTGAGTTGAGATCGCGCCATTGCACTTCAGCCTGGCCAACAAGAGTGAAATTCCACTTCAAAATAAAATAAGCCATAAGATAAATGAACAAGTTCCTGTGAAAACAGGCATGCAAGTCGTTATCTATGAGGTACAATCTGTGTCAAACAGTAGCACCCCGTGACAGAGGAACACGGTGGCAAGGATTACTAAACATGTGACTATAATATCAGTTTCCACTCAGAAAAGACTAAAAACTCGCGTGTTTATCTCACAAGTATATTGTGAGGAACAAAAGAAGAAAATATAAAACCAACTTTGAGAATTGCCAAGACTTCATAAATGAAAGTGATCAATGTTCCCAACATTCCTACCAATTCTGAAGTCGGAAGTAATCCTCCTCATTTCGTTCATCAGATCTGTTCCAAGACTTTTTACATTCTCTAAATCATCTTTCATTGAGTAAGACAGGTCCATAAGGTAGTAGAGGTCAATAGGATAGTCTTCAGCTCTCTTGAATTTTAACGTAAATGTCTGTGGCTCCCCTAATTTGACAAGAGATTAGAAAATGAAACTTGCCTGCTGGCAATCAAATGCAAATGAGAAAAACCAAATAAATGTGATTTACATGGTAAACACAATAAAACACGTTGTCCTAATTTTTATAAAAACCTGGGAATTCTGTAAGTAACTCAATGGGTATGAACTCAATTTCATTAAACAAATACTTAAAACATCAGGACTTCAGGATGCAAAAATAAAAAAGACATTCCCAATCCACAGTGGACAAGACAAACAGAAAGTCGGTTTATAAGAGAAGGAAACAAATAGAACACCATAAATTAGTCTGGAAAGGGCAAAGCAGAACACACATAGGGTACAACTGACTTCCTAGACACCGAGGTTGTGAACTCCGTTCTGTGTGTAATGGGATGATGCTCTCTGAAAGTGAATAACATGATCCGATTTTCACTTTAGAAAACTTGGCAGGAAGTTTAAAAATAAATTACTGAGGCAAAGAGGCTAATCTACAAAAGAAATCCAGAGAGAGATGATGAAGGAGACGAGAGAGATACAAGAGATGTTAACGTAATCTATTTAGAAAATACAGGAGAACGAAGGTTTGGATGAAAATGTAATTAAGATTTTAACTTGGAGTTTTCTCTATATAGATTTCTAACAGGCAGTTGGAGAAATGGGTTTGGAGCTCAAAAAAGTCTGTGTTGCTACAGTATACAATTGGTTTTAAAGCCATGAGAGGAAAACTGACATTCAGGTGGACTACAAAAACTGAGAAAGAAAAAAGACACAAAAAGGGGCCTGGAAAGCAATGGCAAGAGACACAAGGAAAAATACAAGGAGTGTATCACTGATCAAGGGGAGAGCACTTCAAAAAGTACAAAGTGACACTTGGCACTGAAGGGTTTTAAAAAAAAAGCCCTGACAAGGGTCTCCTGGGTCTGCGGGCTGAAGGTGATAGTGGAGCAGGATGAGGAGGCAAGGCCTGACCTGGCTGAGGAGGGGCCGGGAGGGATGTCAGGGGACAGGGCCACTCACCATTCTTCTGACAAGAAAGGCTGGAAATCAGAAAAGAGATGAAGAGGCCTTTTTTTTAAAATTCATTTTTAGATGTGGGACTGACAGACATAATTACAAAAACCTTAACAGCTTAATAATACTAAACAAATACAAAGAAAAAGAATAGGTTAAAATGATGATTTTATAATATATTATGTAATTAGACCAGAGGATGAACACTTTCATTTTTAAAACTCACTAAATCTAATTAATAATTTCTGAATCTTTAACAAAATTTACTTTGAACATTAGGCAACATTTAATATTATTCCAAGTATATGTGTCTTACAATTGTTGTATCTGCATAAAGTTTTCTAAAATTTAACCAAGTTCATATTTTTGAGTGCCAGTCCACATGTAAAAACGAGCCTTCAACAGAAACTGGTCAGATTTGCATAAAGCTGGTGTCAAATGCCTTAAGTAGACACAGAGGTTATTCATAGCACTGGGCTTCCATACCTGATCTTAATCGCAAAACCAACTGCTGTGGTTGGATCTGAGTAATATCCTCTGGCTTGAGCTTCTCTGCTGTTCCTTTGCTACGGTTGGTTACATTTTTATTTTTCTTTATATCTTTGGAGCCTCTGGGATTTTCTATGTCATCTGGAGGGCAACCTTTCTTTTTTAAGGCTTCTAAGTCATCACATCGTGCAGAAGTAGGCATTCCTTCTTGTAAAAATGTCTAAATGACATATAAAACACAGGTATAAATAAGAAGTGTAATGGCCAAACCTTTTTACATAATGATTGCAAATAAGCAATTAAGTTGCAAAACATTAAATCGCATCTAATGTACCTCAATTCTGGCTTTGAAACAAAATGCTCACTTCATCCAAACTATAAGAAGTATTCTTGTTTAAAAACAATCATTTCCAAGAAAGTAATACCTTTCCCAGAACTGACCCAAGTGTACATATTAAATGCTCTATCTTGTAATTCAGAGTATCTAATCAAAAGCAATTTCTTCAGTGAAATCACTAATTGAGCATGGTTAATAGCTACTAATAATATATACATATACCTCAAGTATCAGACCATTTCTCCAAGATTTCCTTTAGAAAAGTCCCTACAAAGCCTCTCGTATTACATGGCACTCTCCCTCCTCATCACAATATGTTGAACAACCCAATGTTTAGGGAAAACAGATTAGCTTTAAAAAAAACTCAATGAATTATGGCATTTTTAAAAAGAAGAAAACAAAATTTAGCACAGATTAAGTATTCCCACAGGTTTGAAAAACTTCAAGTATTAGCTATTATTGTAAATAAATTTTTTTTAAAAATTTAAAAAGCAAAATAGTAATTATATGACAAGGATAAAGGTCCTAATGGCAGATAAATTGCAAAAAAGAAAAATAAGATCATAATGGCACATGAATGGCTATTTGTAGTAGTAAAATTTCTAGAAATGACCAAGATTTTAAACGTGCTATCCTCAAACAACCTAGGGAGAAATAAAAATTTAATCGGATAACTGAAAAGCACTTTAGTGAATACAAAAACAGTGCTGTTAAAGATCTATATAAAGACTTTGAATAAAGGTGTTTCATGAAATGTGAAAATGGAGGGAAAACAGTGACATTATATATGGTATTTATATATTAAATATCAATGTAATGGTGCTGTAGAAAATAACAGTAAGTGAAGATATTTCAATTAAAAAATACACAACAGTTTTTACACAGGATTTTTTTAAGAGAAACATCACACTAATGAGGTTATTTATGTAATCAACAACTGGAAGGGAATATCAAGAATCAGATAATTCAAAGTGGCACACTTTAATTTATTAAACCTAAGCTACTACCTACCAAAACACAAGATCCTGGTGAATTACACATTTCTAAATAATAACCAAAGCAAGAAACTTTACGTTCATGACACCCAAATAAAATTTCACTGAATATATTCAGAAAGCCTTAATTTTAAGAATTATGCTCCAAACCTTGAAGGCTAAGATAACCCTCAACAACAGATAAAACTAGTCCCCATAAAATGGATGCTCTTAACAATAGCAGCTACCACTTAAGTGAAACTGCTTTAAGTTCATCAATTCTAATTATTGTACCAATAGATAAAGAAGATATTTTCATCCTCATTTTTCAGATATGAAAACCAAGAGCTTCAGTTACATAAGCCTTGCCTGAGACAAACTCACAACACTCCTTAATTCCTCCACTGTTGCCAATGTAATCCCAGCACACCACTTTTAGAAAGTGCCATTAGAAAAATTTTGAAAAAACAAAATCTCTCATTTTTTCTTTCATATGGTCAAGCCATATGACTTATCTGATACTTGACCACTTGGGTGTACCAAAACAGGCACTTGAAATTTGGGCCCAAATGCCTACATGGAAACACAATCAATAACCCCTTGACCTTCTGATATTAGTTATTCATCCTGTGATAAATTATACAACCTCAAAATGACTTTTCCTTACCTCCTGTTCTGACTTATTCATTAATTCATCGACTCATTGAATAAAATTTAGTGGGCTTTGTGGAAGGCACCAATTTGGAAAAATATAGAGATGACAAAAGTGAATAAAATCCAAATCCTCATTAACCTCAAAGAACTTATACTGGATGCAAATCAATTCTAGTAGTTTAACTCAAATATAATTAGGAAGGTTAATTTATACCTCCCCACAAAAAAGAGGAAATCTAAAACAGTCAAACTAAATGACTAGATTTCTTTGAAAGTTCCCCAGTAAAAATATAGTATGTGCCACAAAGATAAGCTACGTATATATGTATTTTATAGCTGTTTAGCAGCCATACACACAAAAAAGAGGAAATTAATTTTAACACTGTTATAACATTGCATTTTTAAATATACAAAAATTATCATTTCACCATTTTTTTAATACTAAGTCTTTGAAATCTTGCATATCTCTGAAACTTAGAGCAATTCTAATTTACTGAAGTTCTCGATAGCCACCTGTGCCTAGCAGCTACTGTGTTGAGCCACATAGCTCCAGACCATCACGTTATTCAGTACTGATTTACATAAAAATTAATCTGTACTTCCCAAGGATACAGCACTGAGCCACGCTAAATGACCAGGGAACAAAATGGAAAGCACTTGAGGAACACCTTACTTACTGAATTTGTGCACCACCCACAATTTGGTCCTGCTTGTATACACTCTCCACATGATTTGGCATTTGCTTTTAAACATCTATTTTCATCTGTCAGAAAGAAGAAAGAATATTTTACTTGAAATGTCAGAGAGAAAAATAGTGAAAAATCAGGAATACAATGACAATGCAATATATGTAAATGTCAAATATGAATACTATGACCTAGATAGCATCTAAACTAGACCTTCCCCAAACAGAGCAGGATTTTTAAATTTAATTTTTAATTTTTGTGGGTAAATAGGTATACACAGGTATGGGGTACATGAGATATAAAACAGGCATACAATGCATAACAGTCATTTAATAGTAGATGGTGTATTCATCGCCTCAGGCCTTTATGCTTTGTGTTACAAAGAATCCACTTATACTCTTTTAGTTATTTTTAAATATACAACTAAATTATTATTGACTATAGTCACCCTGTTGTGCTACTAAATACTAGGTCATATTCATTCTTTCTATTTTTTGGCACCCATTAACACTCCCGATTTCCTCCTCGTCCTCTCACTACCTTTCCCAGCCTCTGGTAACCATCCTTTTACTATCTCCGTAAGTTCAATTGTTTTAATTTTTAGCTCCCACAAATAAGTGAGAACAATGCGAAATTTGACACCATGATTTTGGATCACCTTGGCACTGAAAGCCACAGAGAGACACAGTTATCTTCCCTGTCTTCTGTATCAAACACTAAATCCTTTTCTTCAAAGGCATAATTCAGAATTTATCATTCTCGATTGTCATAAATGTCATGAGTTTTTTAAAAACTGGGTAAAGTTCTTGTCATTTAAGTCATTTTACCATACCCACAAGAATCTTAAGGGCTTTCCTTTCGTTTTCAGTATGCTAAATAATTGGAAAGTCCATATTCATCTAAACCATAATCCCATTATTTCTCAGGCTCTATGTTCAAAGTATGTTTTATGTTTCTTTGCATCGACCTAAGGAAGAGTATGCCTTCTACATGGTAAGCACCACTACAGACTGTCTCCAACCTATCTTTTCTGATTACAAACTCAGCATATGCTTCTTACAGAAAATCTGGAAAACACATAAGAGCATAAAGAACACACTAAAACTTACTAAGAATTAAAAAACAAACTAAATCTGTTAACTAAAAGAAAACTTTTGCTAACATTTTTGCTAACATTTCTTTCCAGTCTTTTTCCTATGCAGATAAATAGCAAGGAAGCAAGCATATATGTATTAGCAGATGTATTATTTAAATGAAACTGAAGACACACTTTATATATACAGTTAACATAGTTTTATACACTGTTTTGTATACCTTATCCTAAGTGTTTTATTCTTGTCATTACAAATTATGTTTTTAAATCTAGCTTTTAATGATTATGTAATATTTTAATATATGAGTGTACCCTATTTAATGCTGGACAAATTTAGATTGTCTCCAAATGTATGTGTCCACAGTTCACACATGCTTGCTAACATACACATATAAATGCCCTAAGTACACAAATACACATACTGTACAAGTACACATATACACAAACTGTACTACATGCACATACACACACTGATGACCATTCTTACATATAAACCTTAGTACACATCTGATTATTTCCTTATAACAAATTCCAAAAGAATAACTACCAAGTTGAAGAATATATTAACATTTCTAGAATTCTCAATACACACTAATTTCTATCCAAAAGTAACATACAATTGACCCTCTGTATCTGTGTTTCCAAATCAGTGGATTCAAGCAACCACAGATCAAAAATGTTTGGGGGAAAAAAAGGGTCAGTACTGAACATGTACAGACTTTTCTTCTTGTCATTATTCCCTAAACAATATAGTATAAGAACTATTTACACAGCATTTACATTTTATTAGATATTATAAGTAATCTAGAGAAGATTTAAAGTACACAAGACGGTATGTGTGGGTTATATCAAATATCATGCCATTTTATATTAGGGACTTGAGCATTTGTGGATTCTGGTCTGAAGAAGGTTCTGGAACCAATTCCCCATGGATACAATAGGGCAACACTACTAATATAAGCTCCCACAAAATGGCAGTTTACAAATACCATTTTACCACACTCCCAACAAAATAAAGTGCTTTAATATTAAAAAAATTGTTGCTGATTTAACAAGTAAGTGTATATTAGAATATCAATTCAGTGGTCAAGCCTATTAATTTCAGGTTTTACAACTAACCATTTCTTTTATAATTTTCTGTATGTCTTTTGCAAATTTTTATGTTTCTCAGTTTTTATTGGATTCCTACACACATTAATGAAGTTGAACCTCTAGTTTCTCATCTTGTTTATGATGTTCTGCCATATAATTTTTTTGTTCTTGTTGATTTTATGTAATTTAAATTTATCAATTCTTTTATGGTCTCTTGCTTCACTTTTACTACTTGTAGTAAGTCCTTCTAATCTTGGTATCAAACTGCTCTATGCAGTGTACTTTTTTACATGATTTGGAGGACAGAACTGAGTACCCATTATTCTAGATATGTAAGCACATCTTCATAGAAGGGTTAAATATGTTTTCAGCTTTATTTTCACTGCACTCCTAGATGATGCCAACATTTTGCCAGACTTTTTGATTAAAGAGTGAGAATGTCTTCTAGAAAGTCAACTGTTCTGTTTTTACTTTTTAGACAATGGGCAGCTCACAATCTTCCACTGTAAACATTTGCTTTATTTGCTTCTAAATGTACTACATGTCTTTGCCTTCTTTCTGTTCACTTACTCACTCTCATATTCTCAAAATATCTTCATGCAGCGTGTTCAATCCCTACCATTTTAGTACTTCACCAGTCAACCTGCCTCCCGTCATCCTAGGTGGCAGGGGTAAGGGAGGCCTGACCATGAAGGATCCTACCCTTTCTCTGAGTGAGATGGGGCCACTGCAGGGCCTCCAGAAGGTGCATTATGTTATGACTTAGGTTCTCACATGAACCTAACTGGTCAACAAGTGACACAAGATAAAGAAATAAAAAGACAACTAAGAAAACTTTTTGTTTTTACCTGTTTGGCCAAACACACAGCAAACTGAACTGATCAGTCCAATCCAGAAAATCAGTTGTAAATTCATCTGAAATATAAAATATGCCTTATAATAATAAAGAAAATGAGAAAATGCATTGAAAAGAAAGTATTCCCCCCATACCTTCTGTTGTTGCTCTTACAAATATGATGTCTCTCAAACCATTTCACTCCAGTCCCTTTCCACAAACCTTTGCCCATCTCCCCCCACAGCTAGTTCCCTCACCTTGCACCTACACTGCAAAAATAACTTCCATACCAGAGCTCCAGCACCCATTCATGCCTTTCTCTAAGGCAAACCGAATATATTTTAACATTGACAGTGCTAAAAAAAAAAATGAGTGTTAGGTATTCCTCAACACCATAAAAGCTACTAAAATCTCAGCCTATTGAATCTCTATATCCATGATCTCCTGTGGCTCCCAGGGGCCCAAATCAGCGTATCCAGATGCTTCAGTTACCTCAATGCTGAACATTAGTTTTCAAAAACCTGATTAAGTCATCCCCCTGCTAACAATGCTTCATCAGTTTTTATTTCTCCTCAGGCTAAGACCAACATCCTGCATAAGGCCGCAAATAGACTTTTGAACTTGATCTCCTATTACCTCTCTTTTTTAAGAAAATCAACTTCTGCCAGGAGCAGTGGCTCACACCAGTACTCCCAGAACTGTGGGATGCTGAGGGAGGCGAATCACTTGAGGTCAAGAGTTTGAGACCAGCCTGGCCAACATGGTGAAACCCCAGCTCTATTAAAAATACAAAAATTAGCTGGGCATGGTGGTGTGTGCCTGTAGTCCCAGCTAGTCAGGAGACTAAGGCAGGAAAATCACAAGAACCCAGGAGGCAGAGGTTGTAGTGAGCCGAGATTCTGCCACTGCACTCCAGCCTGGGTAACAGAGCTAGATTCCAGCTCAAAAAAAAGAAAAGAAAAGAAAAGAAAATCAACTTCTGTGCATGGAATTAGTAAAATATTCACTTTAATTTCCTAGAGTGTCCAGAATCCCACTCTCCCGCCAAAAAAAAAGACGGCACAAGACAAAACTGGAAAAGTCTTGTCTTCTAGAACCGCTAACAAAAAATTAGTTAATGTTCTACATATTAAATATAACTATCCCAATCTCCTACTGTTACGTATATATGTAAGTATTTTCCCTGAATCAAAGCTTTCACACTGATATGAATCTATATCTTTGATTTGGTCAAAGATGGCTATGGTCACTGGTTGCTGACCTGATCCCTTAACTACTTACTGCTCTTGGACTAGCAGCCAGTCTAATAATTACATATAAGTATCTGTCCCTTCACAAGCCAAAATAGAAAGTTTTTTAACCCAACAAACCGATAGCGGATGGCTGCAAGAAACCAACTGGTAGTTCTGCGAACTGGTACAATTTTTTGGGAAATAATTTGACAATTTACATCAAAAACCATTAAAAAAAAATCCTATCCTCTAGTAATGCAGCTACTGGGAATCACCCTAAGAAAATAAGTAAATATATAAAAGGTGATACACACACACACACACACACACACACACACACACACACATTCGTTACAGTACTCTAGTATATTCACAAGAGCAAAAAATGTAAATATCCTATATCCAATAATAGGGAAATCTAAGTGCATCAAGTTTATGGACTATTAGATAGACTATACAATAATAAAATGCAGCAACATTAAAAGAGTTACAGAATAATTTCGGATGCAAAGTACACAATAAGATGAGAAGAACCTGACTTTCTCAAGACAGCAGAAGAAAAAAAGAGAGGAACATAAAAATAATACTAACAGTTTCACATAATCTGAAGATAATAAAGTTATATATAATATAAAGACACGGGCCATTTGTTTTGCAAAACGTTAGTCTTCTTTCTACTTTTTTTTTGAGACAGAGTCTTACTCTGTCTGCCAGGCTGGAGTGCAGTGGCACAATCTTGGCTCACTGCAACCTCCACCTCCCAGGCTCAAGCAATTCTCCTGCCTTAGCCTCCTGAGTAGCTGGGATTACAGGTGTGTACTGCCAGGCCCGGATAATTTTTGTATTTTCAGTAGAGACAGGGTTTCACCACGTTGGCCAAGCTGGTCTTGAACTCTTGACCTCAGGTGATCCGCCCACCTCAACCTCCCAAAGTGCTGCGATTACAGGCGTAAGCCACCATGCCCAGCCCTTCCTTTCTTAATGAAAACAACTGTAGCACAGTTTAACTGTGCAATTCTTTTTCTTGGTAAATGTCCTTTAATAAGAAAACAGTTCACTGAATTCCAAATTAACACTATTTCTTTTACAGACCTCCGTCTTCAAGGGCTTACACTCCAGGATGCTATTCCCTTACCTCAGAGAGAATGCTTTAAGTTACGCTCTGAGCACCCGAGAGAAAAGAGTTAAGAGTTACGTGAAAAATCATCCACTTCTGCAATCGTGCTCAGCCAAGCAGGTTGTTATGCCTGAGCTTGCAGTTTTGCTTACACATCACTTGTGACTATATCCAAGAAACCAGCAAAATCTGAGTGTCACAGAAGTGTGAAGTGCCTACCAATTCACCTTTCAAGGCCTGCCTAAAAGGTTTAATGTGTGATAAATCCATTAGACTATAATCCTAAGCAAGTCAAGTAATGTTACCACAATTCCAAAGCTATGACTACAGACACCTGGAACATTAAAGTTCCTGAGAAAATGCATTACTGTGATTAATGAAGCATACAGGCAGTTTCCACACAAAGGGAGCAGAACAAATATTTGTTCCATATATGGACAGATACATGTTTCTTCAGGATACGAACTCAGGCTGTTTAATAATCACTAGAGACTGCTTTGAGAAATGTGTCAACATATCACACATTTCAGACAATCATCACTAAGATGAAGCTATTAGGTAACAGAAAATGTTTCCTAACATTCGAGGCCACACAGCTTTAAAACACTGCTTTAAATGTCACTGTCCTTCTCCTTCTATAAACCTTTACAAGGCAAAAAAAATCAACCTTCTGAAACCCTAGTGCCCCTGGAAGAGCTCCAAACCCAGAAGCAGACAAAACAAGAATTCAGTGCTAAAGAACAGCTGAGAGAACAAGGCCAGCAGCTGGAAACAGTTTAAGGACAGATGTCAACGCTCCTGTGACTGGAGGGGCACTGGCAAGAAACAGAGAGGCACTGCCATTGGATAGTGATGTCTGTAAAAGGCCAAGCTTTCTCCCAAGGAAAGGGAAAGGCCGGAGGATGATGCCAATTAAGAACACAGAAGAGCTACAGGACCAGGAGGCAAGCCAGAGAGAGCTGGACAGGAAAGGAGAGGCAGAGGGCCAGGCAGCCTCCCTCTCAATGCTGCTGGCCTTTCCTTCTGCCGGTATTGGGCACCCCCTGCACATGCGAGGGGAAGGCAAAGGACCAGGAGCCTGAAGTCCTATGCCGCAAAGCTCCCAAGGCAGCCCTTCTCTTTTTTTTTTTTTGAGACGGAGTTTCGCTCTCGTTACCCAGGCTGGAGTGCAATGACGCTATCTCGGCTCACCGTAGCCTCCGCCTCCTAGGTTCAAGCAATTCTCCTGCCTCAGCCTCCCGAGTAGCTGGGACTACAGGCACGCACCACCATACCCAGCTAATTTTTGTATTTTTAGTAGAGATGGGGTTTCACCTTGTTAACCAGGATGGTCTCAATCTCTTGAACTCGTGATCCACCCACCTCGGCCTCCCAAAGTGCTGGGATTATAGGCTTGAGCCACCATGCCCGGCCGGCAGCACTTCTCTAAGTGGGCCTAGGAAACAACTGCATCGGGTTTACCTGGATGCCCACCCCAGGCCTAAAATCCAGTCCCTGAGCATGGGGCCTGGACTCTGGTGATTCTTTTGCTGAGAAAGGACCCGAAGGAATTTCCTCCCAATGACATTCCATATAAAACAGGCTATGAGGGGACAACAGGGAAAGATGCCTTTCACATGCTGTCCTAATGCCAACGCTTGTCTCCTCTTCATCGTCAAAGACCTAGAAATAGTGGTCTACACTGGTCTCCATTTCCTACCTACCTTCCCTCTTCTCAACCCAGTACCTTCATGTGTCACTTAACAAAGAAAGAGCTCTGAGAAATGTGAAGGCAATTTCATCGTTGTGCAACCATTGCAGTGCACTTACACAAACCTAGATGGTCTGGTCTCCTACACACCCAGGCTCTACGGTACAGCCTATTGCTCCTAGGCTACACACCTGTCCAGCACTCGACTGTCCTGAAAACTGCAGGCAACTGGAATGCTGCAGTAGGCATCTGTGTATCTACACATAGCCAGACATAGAAAAAGTACGGTAAAAGTATGGTACAAAAGATTTTAAAATTGGTACATCGCCATTACCCTGAATAGAGCTTGCAGGACTGGAAGCTGCTCTGAGTGGGTGAGTGAGGCAAGTAAGTACACTGCACAGAACACTCACTGAACAGGACATTACTGACGTTACTATCACAGTACTGTGGACACAAATACACACACTACCTTAGCCTAGGCCTACACAGCTGCCCAGAATCAGGACTACCAATGTCACTGTCTTGGGCCTGCACATCCTATCTCCATGACACAAGGAGGAGTCATCTCCCAAAAAATCTTCTTCTAGACCACTTCCTGAAGGACCTGCCTGAGGCCGTTTTAACCTTTTTTATAACAATACTCTCTAAAATAACAATAAACAATATAGTGCAGTAAATAAAGCAGTAACATAGCTGTTTATTATCAAGTATTATATACTGTAGTTAATTTAGATGCTATACTTTTATATGACTGGCAGCATAGTCGATTTGTCTACACCAGTAGTGCCACAAACAGGTAAATAATGTGTTTCACCATGACACTACATTACCAGGCAACAGGTGTTTTTCAGTCCCATTATAAACTTATGTGACCACTGTCATGTATGCGGTCCATCACTGATCAAAATGTCATTATGTGGTACATAACTATATAATTGATGTCCATGCCTGAGCATATATGTGAAACTACTCTTGCAAAAGCACCCTTTCCAGGACTTATCTTACTCTCTGCCTTCATTCATTCATAAATTTTTTGAC